ATCTGGAGCATGGGACTCTCTCTGGTAGAGATGGCGGTTGGGAGGTATCCCATCCCTCCTCCAGATGCCAAGGAGCTGGAACTGATGTTTGGGTGCCAGGTGGAGGGAGATGCGGCTGAGACCCCACCTAGGCCAAGGACCCCCGGGAGGCCCCTTAGCTGTGAGTAGCCTGGTGTGTCCCCATCTTGGACTGTGTGTTGGGGGGTCCCTTACTTTCAGGGGTTTCTGGAGGGCTGATTCTCTGTACAGTCTGCCAAGACTGATTTCTCTGTCCCTGGATGCCAGGCTAGGGCTAGGAGGAAGCAGCAAGGGTCTCCAGGTGGGTGTTGTTATTACCAACTACTTCCTACCATTTGTTGAGTATGTACTATGTTCTAGGCACTGCACTTAGGACTTTGTATACATTATTTAACCTTTTGTATTATTTTTATTATTAAGGGTCTTGCTGTGTTGCCCAGTGCAGTGGCTAGTCACAGTCTTCAACTCCTGGGCTCAAGCAGTCTTCCTCCCTCTGCCTCCAGAGTAGCTGGGACTACAGGCTATAATTTATCTGGGGGGTTGGGAGAGAAGGGGCTCACTCTGTCTGGAGTGCAATGGCACGATCACAGTTCACTGCAGCCTTAACTTCCCAGGCCCAAGTGATTGTCCTACCTCAGCCTCCTGAGTAGCTGGGACCACAGTCACATGCCACCATGCCCAGCTAGGTTGTTTTTTATTTTGTAGAGACATAGTCTCCTTATGTTGCTCAGGTTAGTCTCTAACTTTAGGGCTCAAGCAGTCCTCCTGCCTCAGCCTCCCAAAGTGCTGAGATTACAGGCATGATCCACCATGCCTGGCTTCTAATTTCTGGGGTTTTTTTGTTTTTGTTTTTGTTTTGATACTGGGTCTTGCTCTGTCACCCAGGGTGGAGTGCAGTGGTGCCATCATGACTTACTGCAGCCTTGACCTCTTGGGCTCAAGTGATCCTTCTGTCTCAGCCTCCTGAGTACCTGAGACCACAGGCATGTGCCACCGTGCTACCATGCCTGGCTAGTTTTTTGGGTTTTTTTTGAGATGGAGTCTCACTCTTGCTGCCCAGGCTGAAGTGCAGTGGTGTGATCTCAGCTCACTGCAACCTCCGTCTCCCGGGCTCAAGCGATTCTCCTGCCTCAGCCTCCCGAGTAGCTGGGATTACAGGTGTGTGCCACCACGCCCGGCTAAGTTTTTGTATTTTTAGTAGAGATGGCATTTCTCCACGTTGGTCAGACTGGTCTGGAACTCCTGACCCTCAGGTGATCCGCCACCCTCAGACTCCCAAAGTGCTGGGATTACAGGTGTGAGCCACCGCGCCCGGCATGCCTGGCTAATTTTTAAAATTTTTTGTATAGATGAGGTCTCGCTATGTTGACTAGGCTGGTCTGGAACTCCTGGGTTCAAGTGATCCTCCTGCCTTGGCCTCCCAAAGTGTTGGGATTTTAGGCGTGAGCCACTGCGTTCTAATTTTTTAATCATGACTTTTGGTAGTTTTTTTTTTTATTGAGATAGAATTCACGTAAGACAAAATTCACATTTTAAAGTATGTAGTTCAGTGGTTTTTAGTACATTGTTCCATGTTGTGCAGCCATCACCACTGTCGCATTCTGGAACATTTTCATTACCCCAGAAAGAAACCCCATCTCCCACTCCCCCTCACCTGATCCGCTGACAACCCCTAATCTACTTTGTGTCCATGGATTTGCCTAGCATTATAGAATTTTAGTAGCATTTCATTTGTGAATATGATTATAATCTCCATTTTAAAGATGAGGAAACTGAGGCACAGGGCCCTTGTCAAGGCCACATAGGCTTGTAAGTGGCCAAGTCTGACTCCCAAGATGATAAACACTGTGCAGTACCACCTGCCTCTCTGAATGTGAATATTGGAAAGTAAACCTGGTACTCAGGGAATAGCCTGACCTAGCCAACTGTTTTTTATGTAGCTCCTGTCTGGCCAGGGATACCTGCCCTATACCTCCATGAGGTCCACATGAGAGAGAGCTTGTATAAAGGGGAAAGCAGAGGGGGCTAGGGGTAGCTGATGGCAGGTCATTGGAGGGGCTGGTGGCTGTGGCCTCTGAGGCTGGCCTGTGACTCTAGGAGACAAAAGGAAGAAATGCAAGTTCATAGAGAATTAAAACTAAGTCCTTTAGTTATTTAGCTGCTATCTCATTTGTGCCTCTCTCAGTAGAAGGAAGGGGGAAAGGACAGACATAATTATGTCTGTGCTTTACAAAACTCAGAACTTTGGCTCAGCAATGAACCGATTTGCCAAAGGTTATGAACTTAAGATGTGGCAGAGCCCAGACTTGTACCCTGCCTTTGCTGGTCCCCTCTGTGTTCAAGCCTTATCTGTGGATGTTTAATTTTTATTGTCCATGACCCTGTTCTGGTCCCAGGGATCTATACCCAACCCCTTGCCTCATGTTAAGAAGTAATCTGTTTCTGAGAAGTATTTTTTCTTTTTATAAAATTTGTAGCATATGGAATGGACAGCCGACCTCCCATGGCAATTTTTGAGTTGTTGGATTACATAGTCAATGAGGTAAGTACCGCCTGGTTTCCTTCACCTTAGAATTTACTTGCTCATCTTAAGAAAACACTCAGATCCTGGGCGCGGTGACTTATGCCTGTAATCCCAGCAGTTAGGGAGGCTGAGGCAGGTGGATCACATGAGCTAAGGAGTTCGAGACCAGCCTGGCCAACATGGCAAAACCCCATTTGTACTAAAAATATGAAAATTAGCTGGGCATGGTGGTGCACGTCTGTAGTCCCAGCTACTTGGAAGGCTGAGGCATAAGAATTGCTTGAACCTGGGAGGCAGAGGTTGGCTCTGAAAAAAACAAAAACCAAAAAACATCCCTGTCACAGGTTCAGTCTACTAGAAGTTTAATATACCTCTCTTTACTATATGCACAGCTTTATACTAAGCACCACGGGCTGTAGAAAAGCAGTTTCAGGATCAGATCATTGCTGCTTAAGGATAATGAGGGAGGCAGAGGATGTTGCATTTGTAGGAGTCAGAAAAAAAGCCATCTATCCTCTACTGCTGTGGACCTAAGCTGGGTGGTTCCGGGTGGTAGTCATATTAAGGGAAGGGATATCTGAGGTTAGATATGCCATTGCTGGTCTCCTAGCGTGCACTGCTCTCTTCCAAATTTTCACATTAATTTCCCATGTGATTCTCCCAAGCATTGCTGAGGTAGGCCAAATTGGTTCCTTTTCAAACAGGTGAGGAAATTGAGCCTCTAAGATGAAAAGTAGCCCACGTCATTCCCACCCAGTGCTCTTTCTTCCTCACCACCTCCCACCTCCCACTCTTACCTCCTAGGAGGCTTGGCCGCATGGCAGTTGATCCACTGCAGCCTCTGCTGACACACAGCCCCTCTGTTGCCTAGCTCTTTCCTGTTCAGAAGGAATGGATGCTGCCTCTGGAGGCCAAGCTGCTGGTCTCCTCTCTCCCTTGAATAGTCCCTTGATTCCCTCAGCAGCAGGGACAGTCTGCAGAGTAGGACTTGCTCTGGGTCACTGTTCTAAGAGCTGAGTTCTAGTCCTCACCTCAGATCAGACTGACATGGCCCTCAGAGGAAGAGCACTAGGTTGGGCTTTGTGGTGGTGGGGATCAGTGTCTCATTTTTAATCTCATTTTAATTTGAGATTAAAAATGAGATTTGGGGCTGTACATCAGAGCAGTGACATCATGGACATTATGTCCGTGGGTCAGCACCTCCCAAAGAAGCTACACGCAGCTCCCAGCCTGGGTGTGTAAGTTGGCCCACATTTCCTGGACTGCATGGAACACCGTGCGCCCAGTGCTTCAGAGCCTTGTAGTGTATAGCGCTGCGTGATCGCTCTGGGATCTGACAACAGCCTCGCTGTGGAGTGTGTAGGTAACATTCTTCCAGACCCAGCCCTGTCAGTTAATGTTTCATCAACTTTGCACTGCCTCTCTAGGGCTCAGAAAAGGGATTTTTAAAAACCGGTTTGCTTCTGCAGGTGCTGTCAGACCTGGGCCAGCCTGGTGGTTTGCATGTGCCCCTAGCTGTTGCTGCCAGTAAATTGCTAGTTACGTTTCCATGTCGCACTCCAAGATTTACCATTGTAGAGTTTCAGAGCTTAAAAGGGTCCCTGAGATCATTAGGCCCAACCTCTTCATGTCATAGAAGAGTAAACTGAGGCTCAGAGAGGAACAGTGGTTAGTTCAAAATCACCAGACAAGTGAGTGGACTTGACTTGGTCCCAGTTCTAAGTGTGCTATTTGAGACCAGTGGTTCCAAGATGGTTACCCAAAAGGCAGCACTGGCCTTCCACCTTTCCTTGACTGGATGAGAGTAGCACTGCCTTTGGACTGCAGAGAAGACTTTAAAAAAATAGCACTGGCTGGCAGGAGGGGGTGGGATGGGGAGAGGAGATGGCTGGAGCAAGGAGCCAGGCATTTTTCTTATCTCAACATGTGTTTGCAGCCTCCTCCAAAATTGCCCAGTGGAGTTTTCAGTCTGGAATTTCAAGATTTTGTGAATAAATGGTAAGTTGGCTCCTTGTTCTCTGGAAGGGTACTCTGGATTTGTCAGGCTCCCCACCCCATTTCTGGAAGCACTAGCTTTGCTTCTGCAGGCACAGCTTTGCCCTTTCCCCTCCCAGCTCTGATGATTCTCAGCTGCTGCCATAAGCCCTTTTTTAGAGTGCCAAGACTTATGTGACAGGTCTAACTACATCATGGATGTAGTAGCTGCTCCTTTTGGTACTTGCTCTCCAGGGATTGGCACATTGCTTTTTGATTCAGCAAGAATGTATTAACTTACTGTGGGCATGATATTGTGCTTAGAACCGGAGGATGAGTCAAGCCCAGGCAATCCTCAGCCTCTAGTGTGCAGAGAAGACAGGCATGCAAACATGTTATTTGAGCTAGAACCAGTGCCAGGCAATAGCTCTCACCTTGTCTTTCTTCCTTTAAGCTTAATAAAAAACCCCGCAGAGAGAGCAGATTTGAAGCAACTCATGGTGAGTCCATTTATTCCAGATTCTTACAGTACCTGTTTATTCATTTGTTGTTCTCTGTCAGTCACCTGTGCAGTACTTCCAGAGCCCATTCATTCCCTGCCCACTGTGGTCCAGCTGAGCCTGGGGCTGCAGAATACCAAACACCAGTCTCCTCTGCCCTCCCATCAGTTTAAGGGAAAGCTGGGGTGACCCCTGCAGCCTGAGTAAGCATGCCAGAGAAAGGCCTTAGGGGGCCATGGGAAAGAAAAGGTCAGCCCACCCCCTTCATGGGGATGGAGCCTTTCCCTAATACTGACGGCCTCACCTTACATTCAGCCTCCTTCCTGAGTCACCCTCCGCCTGCTGTTTCGTTTGGTGGCAGTGGGGTTAGCTAAGTAATACTGTAAATATCTGGAGAGCCAGACTGTGCATAGTATGCACTAAGTCCATCATTTTCGTTGTCCCTTCTAACAAGCCGGTGAAGCATTTAAGGCAGAGTTACTGTGTCCATACTGCAAGAGTAGGCTCCAAGAGGTGACTTGCCCAAGGCCTCACAGCTGCTATGGCTGATGGAGCGGGTCTTTGGGTCTGCAGTTGGCCCCACTGCTGCTTAGGGGCAGGTGCCAGGTGCTCCTTCCAAGTGCAGCACAAGCTCTAGACCTGAAACTCTTGGGATTTTCCTTCCTGGTGGGTGTTTTTGTTGTTGTTTCTTTTTAACACCACGTTCTCTCGTTTCCTTACATGCAGGTTCATGCTTTTATCAAGAGATCTGATGCTGAGGAAGTGGATTTTGCAGGTTGGCTCTGCTCCACTATCGGCCTTCACCAGCCCAGCACACCAACCCATGCTGCTGGCGTCTAAGTGTTTAGGAAGCAGCAAAGAGCGAGTCCCCTGCCCAGTGGTTTGCCATGTCACTTTCAGGCCTCCTTCCCATGCCTGTCTCTGTTCAGATGTGCATTTCACCTGTGACAAAGGATGAAGAACACAGCATGTGCCAAGATTCTACTCTTGTCATTTTTAATATTACTGTCTTTATTCTTATTACTATTATTGTTCCCCTAAGTGGATTGGCTTTGTGCTTGGGGCTATTTGTGTGTATGTTGATGATCAAAACGCGTGCCAGGCTGAATTACAGTGAAATTTTGGTGACTGTGGGTAGTCATTCTTACAATTGCACTGCTGTTCCTGCTCTATGACTGGCTGGCTGCCTGTATTTTCGGGATTCTTTGACATTTGGTGGTACTTTATTCTTGCTGGGCATACTTTCTCTCTGAGTAGGAGGGAGCCTTGTGAGATCCTTCACAGGCAGTGCATGTGAAGCATGCTTTGCTGCTATGAAAATGAGCATCAGAAAGTGTACATCATGTTATTTTATTATTATTAGCTTTTCATGTAGAATTCAGCAGTTTACATCCAAATCTAGCCAGAGCCCTTCACTGCCATGATAGCTGGGGCTTCACCAGTCTGTCTACTGTGGTGATCTGTAGACTTCTGGTTATATTTCTATATTTATTTTCAATATACTGTGTGGGATACTTAGTGGTATGTCTCTTTAAGTTTTGATTAATGTTTCTTAAATGGTGGAATTATTTTGAATGTCACAAATTGATCAAGGCATTAAAAGGTCAGATTTATCTTTCCCCATATCCGAGTACCAATGCTGTTGTAAACAACGTGTATAGTGCCTAAAATTGTATGAAAATCCTTTTAACCATTTTAACCTAGATGTTTAACAAATCTAATCTCTTATTCTAATAAATATACTATGAAGTTTAAAAAAAAAAGGATGAAAGCTACTTTTGCTTTTGTGGTAAGCTTTTCAATTTCTTTAGTACGCAAGAAATACTGGTTGAGCCAAGCATTATTGGTGAAGGGGAAAGGTGAAGATGAGGAGGAGGCTGGAAGGCAGAACTACCACACCAAGTTCAGTGCTTTGGACTAATGGGGCTTCCTGTAATTTCAGTCTCTGGACTCAGTCCACCGCTTCTCATCCCATACCCTTCTCTGTTCGTCCAACCCCCTTCCTTGTGGGACCTGTGAATAGATCCTGTATATTCCTTTGATCTCTTTATACAAAGGAAAAGCAGGAGATGGGGGTCTGGGAGCAAATCTGAGAAAAATCACAAAATATTTCTTATCTCACAGAACATTTCTCATTTTCCATATACCAATAGTTGAGCTGAGGGCCTGTCTGCACTTCCAGGCTGTCATGCCCACAGGAGGGCCTTGCTGGTAACCAGCTTGCCTACCTGGTGTGGGAGCTTTCTGCACGACAGCATAGTCTGTTTGCGACATTAAGCAATGGTTTCCCTTCTTTCACCACTTAAGCACACCTTCCTGGAAAGGAGGAATGTGCCTGATGCTGGCTTTGTCATGCCTGTGAGGTGGCAGTGATGTCACAAAGCCATGGCCCACTGGCCACAGGATCCCTTTCCTTAGCTGAGAAGTCTTTGGGAACTTTTAGGTACATTTGAGGCTGCCTGGTCAATACCTCTCCCCTCATTATTTTCTTTGAAAGGGCAGGTTATAGAAACTAAAAGCAACATGTATATTTATAAATAAAAGGCCCATTCCTTTTTAGATTAAAAACAAAACTTGAGTAAATAATCTTCTAAGTAGGTAGTTCCAATCTAGAGGTACCAGAAATTGGGATACTGCCAGGATTTTTAAAAAATGATCAGTGTTGTATATACTGCTGCCTAAGCTAGTCAGCTTTTTTTTTTTTTCTCACCGTGAGGTATAGCTTTTCTAAGTCAACAGTTCAACTTACACATTTTCAACACATAAACATTCAGGCTGGGTTTTAACATTTACACCCTGTGTCTTTTACAAATGACAGGATACCACCACTACTGAGAATGTTTCATTAAAATGAGAAGACTACATCCTTAGGAGAAATGTTATGAACTGGTATCCAAAACCCAGATCTGACTACTTTCATGCTCGGTGTCTTTTGAGGGGTGCTTAGATTTTTTTGTTTTTAAATTTTTAACCAAGAATTATGATCCCCGCATGAATCTTGCAGTGTTTTGAGCTCCCAATGCCAGATTCTTACTGAGATACCAATGATAGTAGGAGTTTCAAATGATCTCGTTAGCACCTCATAGCAACCTGTGAAAACTGCTAGAACACGTGAGTATCTTCACCTTACAGATGGGAAAGTGAGTTGCAAAGAGGTGGGAGGACGAGGGACCAGTTAGTGGTAGAGCTGGAATTCATAGTCAGTCTTTCCAACTTTGCAAACCCATGTTCGTATTTTAAATTAGACCCCCAAAATTTATGTACCTTGATGCTTTTTGTTCCCAACCTATCTTTCCATTGTGTGTTCTAAGGAACATGCTCATTTAAACTTCTGGCTGTTTCCTCTAAGAGCAGCTCAAAATAACTTCAATGAAATGTGGATTAACAAAAAAAGGTATTCTTTGCTTTATTTGGGAACTGCTGCATAAGTTCTGCTTGACATGATTCTTTGTGTTTTGTTTGGCTTTTACTGTTGCTTGAGCAGGGGAAATTAATTTTATAAAATTAAAGAACTACTTATTTCACAGTATAGTAGTTAGTGGAAAAGGGACAGTATGCAGAAATGAACCTCAACTTCAAATACGAAGTAAAAACTCTTACTCTGTTACATAAATCCAGTCTTCCGGCCTGGTGTAGTGGCTCACGCCTGTAATCCCAGCACTTTTGGAGGTCGAGGCGGACAGAAAACCTGACGTTGGGAGTTCGAGAGCAGCCTGACCACATGGAGAGACCCTGTCTCTACTAAAAATACAAAATTAGCCGGGCATGGTGATGCATGCCTGTAATCCCAGCTACTCGGGAGGCTGAGGCAGGAGAATCACTTGAACCCAGAAGGGGGAGGTTGCGGTGAGCTGAGATCACACCATTGCACTCCAGCCTGGGCAACGAGTGAAACTGTCTCAAACAAATAACAAAAAAAAATCCAGTCTTCCAAGCATGGCACATCTCTCCTAAGGGCTAGAAATGGATTTCAAACCATCCTGTTGTATCTTTTCCTCAGAGAAGGAACTGCTGCTTCTCTCTGTCACGATCTAGAAACCAGCAGGCTCCATGATGGCTATTTATAATTTATTTATAAAAACATTTTACCAGTGAGTGATGTCTCAAGTGAGAGGTGATAACAGCTACACAAAGCAGTTTATAGCATGCAGTATTTCAATGCCTCTGAGAGGTAGCAAGCTTGTGCTCTCAGATGGCCCTCAGTCCTTCCCCTTGTCATCTTTCTGTCCTAGACTGTGAGCTAACTGCTCACAAGGATTCAGCGGCATGCAAACAGCCTTTAATTGGTTTTCTTCAAAGAGGCATTGTTGACGGGAAAGACTGGCTTGTATTTAAACTCTGCTCTTTTTGCAAATGCCAGACTTTCCCAACAGTATTTCAGAGGAAATTGTTTTGAACAGTTAACCGAATCTGACCAGATTACAGACAGCACCACCCATATTGCTCAATGCTAAGACACAGCATCTTTGATTTTCTGTATGTCATAACATTCTGAAGCTTGAGTTACTGATGGAGCCATTTTTGCAACTACACATCCTCCTTATAGTTCTTGCTTTCCTTTCAAGCAGATCACAGGGCCCAGGGCAAGATGAGTTCCTTGAGGAGAAGTGCCTGAGACTTAGAAATGCAATTTGTATAACTGACCAGCCTGGCTTTCCCCCTTCTTTAGGAATCTGATTCTTCTTCTTCCTCTTCTTCCTCCTCTTCCGTCACATGACTCTTTGTGCTCAACTCCAGGGTCGTTTGGTTGATTGATGCTTCATTGTCTACATGCACCAACATCTGTATTGGCCAAGGGCATCACAGATTAGTAGGAAAGCTGCTGGCCTCAAAACAGCAAATTCTTAAAAATGATTTAAAATCAGATCTCAATTGCGTATCCCCAGTACTTATGACTAAGAGGTATGGCCACTTTCCTTTTATACCCCCACCTCCATTACCAAAATGGGGCAAAGGTAAATGCCCCTGATTCACTAGAATGTTACCTCATTTACAAACATTATTACAGAAAGCTCCATAAGATTTGTGCCAACTTACATGTGCTGCTGTATCATGGTTTTAAATGTCTTAACACACAAAATCTGGGAGAACTCAAATATTGTGTACTTAGAAATATGATTTTGCTGACTGACTTGAGGGCATTTGGTAAGAGATGAGTATGATGAGGACTGGAACTCATCTTTTAGCACTGTGCTTTGTACTTGAAGCCACACTCTTGATTCCCAAGGTTACTTATTCACAAAAAAGCAAGAGTTTTGACATATCCCTACAAAAATCACTCTCCCCCGGGTTCATCTGAGTAACTAGACAGAATGGATGACGAGGAGGATAGAGGTAAAACATTAGTAACTACTTAATAAATTAATTAGTGTATAACCAGCTAGTAGGAAGGTGGGTAATGTAGAGTTGCCACCTTATTAAACCAGAAAATTCTTATCAGCACTTTCCAGAGCCCTTTGGGCTAGGTAATGTGATTTACAACAGTTCTTCACCACCCAAGCAGCATAGGAGCAGAGCAGACTTTGCATTCTCTCCTAGGCCTGCACTTGATTAAGCTTACATCATGTGACTGTTCAGGTACAGTGTGAGAAGACAGCATCTCATCCCCTCTTCTAGAACTGATCATTGATTGGAGGGCTAATTCTTCAACCTAGAAAAGAAGAGTTGGGGACACTTTTCCTTACTATTTCACTGGATGTGGTTAAACTGCTGGGCACACTATGAAAGGTTTGCATCAAGAGAGGGAATGAAAACTATCTCTGTTGCTCTAGAGGGAAAGTTGGAGGCTCTTAGGTTTTCTCTCTTTTAAGGAGATGAGTAAAGAAAGACTCCAGCCCTTTTCCCCTGGGCTGAACAGGTGCTCTGGCTGAGTCATGGCTTCCACTTCCCCAGACCTAGCAACTCAAAGTACAAGTGTGTCATTAAAACAGCCAAGTGTCATCTGATTCCTCAGAGATTCCCTGGACCTGAGGCTGTCAACTCAGTAATGAGAAGGTGAAGGAAAGAATAGAAAACAGAGGTGTCATCTGAAGCATAAGGAAATCTGGGCTTTGGAGGTGGTCATCGATACACTCATTAGGTACTGGGTACTGTGGGAATACAGGGACACAAATAAGTGGAGGGCATTATGACTTCCCTAAGGAGGCCAGGTGCAGTGGCTCATGCCTGTAATCCCAGCACTTTGGGAGGCCGAGGCAGGCGGATCATGAGGTCAGGAGATCGAGAACATCCTGGCTAACACTGTGAAACCCCGTCTCTACTAAAAATACAACTTCCCCAAAGAAAAATGCTTATGATTTTGATATGTCATAGGTGTACTTTTCATTTTACAAAGGGCTTTGGTAATCCTCACCTCATATGGACTTAAAGTTTCTGAAAAAGGGCCAAGCCCAGTGGCTCATACCTGTAATCCCAGCACTTAGGGAGCTGGAGGTGGGTAATCACCTGAGGTCAGGAGTTCGAGTACACCCTGGCCAACATGGTGAAACCCAGTCTCTACTAAATACAAAAAATTAGCCCGGCGTGGTGGCACATGCCTGTAATCCCAGCTACTTGGGAGGCTGAGGCAGAATCCCTTGAATCCAGGAGGTGGAGGTTGCAGTGAGCCAAGATCGCGCCATTGCACTCTAGCCTGAGCAACAACAGTGAAACTCTGTCTCCAAAAAAAAAAAAAAAAAAAAAAAA